TTGTCGCTGCTAGCAAAGATGTAATAGTAAGAATTATATTGGTAAAATATGTTATTTGTAATTGCGATAGAAAGCATGTTTCGTTGTTTCTTTAGGATGGTTCTTTGTTGTTCTGTTTCTTAGTTAAATGAAACCCATTAAATGCCCAATTGAGCGAGGAGCATAAGCATACAAACGCTCACCACATTCCAACCGGGAATTCTCTCTTAGCACTACAAATGCACATCATAAAAACAAACTCGTATGGTACGTGATGAACTTGACTCCAAATATGTTAAAGACATCAAACACGCGTGTCCCTGCACTTTAAACTGATTACAAGTACACATTAGACTGTAGTGACCATGACCCGTTAAAGATGACTTTCTCAGAAAACAAAATTACAAGGTCGACAACCTTAACCCAACCCACGCCCACCGTCACCACTATCATCTACCACATACAAACGGTTGCAGAGAACAGGATCGCAAAATTTTATTTGTTTTTGGCAAAAGTATAAATAAGGCGAGGACGTTAAACTAGTTCCATGTCCTTAGGGCGAACTTTTATCTGGGCGTGGCAACTGTATAGTAGACCATGAGAATGTTGCTTTTCGCGGGAAAATCTGCCATTGCTTCAACCAATTTTGTTTGGAACGAAACTGTTAGTTGGCGGGTAGATATGTTCTGTTTTTAGCATAATAACTCAGTTCTGAATCCTTAGGGAGAATACTTATCGATATTGTGGTTGGCTTATTGTAACTACCGTAAAACATGATACTATTGCTCGCACAGGGAAATATATTATTGAATTCGTCCCACCACTCTCACTATGTATATTGTCTCAATCTACTGAAAATGTTCACATGTGTGTACACGAAACGGTTTTGTAAACTATTCTCTGATTTGGTAATATTAGAAACGCCCATAATACTAATAATAAGCTACAAAGTGAGCAGGCGCAGTCAACGCAGACGATAACAGATCAGCAGAGTGTACACATTTCAAAAAAAAGACATTCACATTGTTTTAGGGATCTCCGACTAAATGTGCGAACGAAAAATACAACATCCTATGCATTTTAATTAGTGTATATACATAACTCAATTAGTAAGTGAACTGAAATACTAAATCATAAATTCTAACTCAGTCAAATAACTTGAAATATACCCCACCGTCCCACAGCTCTCAACGTTTTAAAGTCGGAGTATAGTAAATATATACATGTATATATATATAGACAACACAATAAACATCAGTGTTGGATATTGTTTTAAAAAATAGACAACATACAACTGAATGCCTGTCAAAACAGCTCCGTTGATTTACGTAATTCAGAACTGAATAGCACCATCTGATAAACCGAACGAAGAAAGTCAACCTAATGCAGCTACATATACTCTCTAAAATTGAAAAAAATAACATAGTCGCCAAATGTACATTGAAATCTAAAGAAATACAACCAAGGTACATACATATTGCGTTCCTAATCAATCAGGGAATGATAATTTTTAGAAGCAATTAATTTGAAAGCCTATTTAACCGAAAAATACAAAAATATTCACTAAATTTATCATCATCAAATTAGAGAATCTGATAATATCAAAGTATGTGATATTAGTTGCCATGAAGAAGTTTAAAATAACAGAATGAAGTCATCTCTACATATCCAATATGGAAGAAATTTTAATAGTAGTTTTCAAGAAGAAGTGTAAGTGTAATTTATGCATATTTATGCCGGACAACATATCTTAAGCTAGTCAAGATTGTCCAGCTTTTAGCTTTATAATACTATGAACAAACAAACATATCATTGACTACTTCCCACTAATTAACACACAATATTTTACACAAGCAAGCGCAGCGTGATATGTTCATAGATATGTACCAGCAGAATAGGTTACATAGAACAGTAAGTTACTCAAAAAACAGAGTAAACTGTCAAATTTGTGTCTCACTGTCTATCCTTGGGTATGGGGGGTTAAGCTCAAATATAAACAACATTCTCATTTTAATAGTGACAGAAAACTAATATCCAGTCTTCAAACACACTCAAACTATATAATTTTGCATTGGAATACTTAATCAGAATTGTGAATGAAGGTAAGTAGTTTGCATTATGAGTGTTATAAATTGTAAAATGTTATGGTGAATGGTCGATGAAAGACGATTTTAAAATGGATTAGCCACTTGTCATTTTGGAGTTTGTGCATAGTTATAGAAGGAGTGCCCATGATGTTCTGCTTAATTTCATAGTATGCTATTTTCTCTATTATAAACGCACAGTCAGCTGGCGCACAAGTGATAATAAAATAAATGCGATATTTACTATATGGGAGCCGCCATCTTGAATGCAGCATAAAACTAGATAAATATAGACAAGTTGTGAAACGTGTTTTTCAGATTCCTACAAACCAGGAAAAAATACAAATCTTTCACATCATAACGAACCATTGGGATAATATTAAGCCAACAGCTAACAAAATTCGGCCGAATTCGTCGTTTTTATGTGGAAAAATTCCTTGCATACGAACCCCTAATTACACGAAAAGCATAGAACACTTTCCCGGGGTATTTGAAACTTAAATCTAACTGTAAGGCCGTCGCTGATTGGTCACAGAGTTGGACTGACAATTTTTACGGTGTTAGTTGGTCAAGTATGTTATGATGGGAGGTTATGTGGCTCCACGTGTAACATAAGTATTGGCTATTCCACTACGTCTTTTAATATCACCGATTTGAACCTTACAAATATGTCCATGAAGTGGATGAGATGACTGCAATTGTACATGGTTTATCGTTCACCATTGACCTTGATGTCAATTTGTCAACGCCATGTTATTAGATACGATAGAGCATGCTATATATAGCCGTTACTAAACGAGTTTATCAGTACCACCGTCTGGCAAGAAGCTTAGTATGTCACTGAGATCGCGGAGTCGTTCGACGTGGTTGCTCTGCTTTTCTCGTCATGTGTAATGGATATGATATCCAACGAACTTTGTGCATGGATAATACAAGATTCAACTCGTAAATAAATATATTTATAGTAATTTAGTTCCAGGTTTCATATTCAGCACGGAACAGAATAGAATAAATATGTATTTGCAAAATTGCAAAGGCTCTGTCCCTCGGTAGTGAATAAAGATATAGTCCTAGAAGTTGTGCATATAGATTTAATATGAGCAGACGTGAAGATGATGGGAGCAAAGACACATGTTTTCTTTAGAGTTTCTGCTCAAAGTGTTCGATTTATCTTCTTTGAAGTGTGAATGGTGAATATATGATAATAATAATAATCATCTTTATTGTTATCTTATCCTCTATGGGACTTTGATTGAAGAATACAATAAAGGTATAGCAATGAAAAAAAATTAAATGAGATTAAAAGAGTATAAAACAAAGGTATTAATAAAATATAATAAATGAAAGTAAATGTTTTTATTCATTTTGAGGCAGCTGGTAGTACTTTTTTCAGGTTGTTCTCCCTGATTTTAAAACAATCATCTATGTACTTAGCAATTTGAGGAGCTAATTTTTTACTTCCATTGTTTAGTATTGCAACTATTTTTTTCTTTGTCAGGAAGTTTTGGAGGTAGCATCAAATTTTTGAGAAGCTCATTTCTTTCTTTTTTATAGAGACCGCATTTAAGAAGGAAGTGCAACATATGATATATGTAGCGGTAGTAATGAGATATGTATTCTACTTTTGAAATACAAGGCGTAGTACGAATCTATGTATGTATGCGATTCATTCAACAGACCGTTTCTGACTTCGATTACATCACATCTTGTTGCAGACTTGTTCGACGGAGATTTGTTCAGTCACACGATCGTGCACCAAACGACTACTACATTTTTTTAAAAGATTTACGTGGTATGTTAAATCGATTATATACCTATCAAATTTAATGCGCCGTGATAATTCGTCTTTGGGGGGACAATTTCAAAGATTAAATCACCTACGAACCATGATGAACAAAATGGCGGAATTGGTGACCAGTCGGACAAAGTTTCACGTGACAATGATTCCC